CCAAAGCCCAAAAAACGCCCCGAAGTTCCCGAGAAGCCCAAAAAATTTATCTTTTCCATTTTGAAGCCCAACCCTCGCAGGGCCCGGTTTTCATTGAAGAAAGTCAATTATAGTAACGAAGTGCTGCCCAAATTACTATTTTAACCCCCGGTTATTTCACGGTGAGTTTAATATATAGGAACAATTGTATGTTATGTGTTATATGTGCTATGTGCTTTTCAGTGTTATTATTCCGGGTTATTTTTCCGTGTTATTTTTATTTCTGTTATTTATGTTAGCAAAGTTATACATTTGACCATGTAATCAATGAAAGGACTTAGATTCACGGTGGTACTGGTACGTAGCCTCTGACCATGTAGAGCATGTCTCCGTAAAAGAATGACTTCTATTCTATGGCATTGACAGATGGTTAGACAGGGCTATAAGCTTGAAATCTATCAAAATGTTTAAATCAGAAAGTGTATGTCTTTCGTGCCATTTGGGCCGAAGCTTTATTGATCGTATATCTTTGAATCAAATCATTGATGGAAAGTTTGTCACATGATTCACATATGCCTTTGTTGTTCCTTGTTCCTCTTTGCTTCAGCCATATTGAATTATATATGGCATAACGTTATATTGTATCTATTTCTGAACTCATTAAGCGTCACCGCTTACCCCTCTCAATGTTTAACAATTGCAGGCAATAAGCAACCAATATAGTTATATACTGATAGAAGATTTTGAATAGTTTGAAACTATTGTATATAGTAATCATGTATGTATAACTTATAGTATCCTAGGAAGTTATGTAACATATAAAAATTTGTAGTAGTCGGTTTGTATCCAGTCTTATGTAAACAAATTATCAATGTAAAATATTGTTTTTATGAATATGCAAGTAGCATGTTTTGGAGTAACAATTGTCAAGTATGAAAGTGTTAGGAACCGGACCGGGTACACGCAGCGGAAACACACTATCACACACACACAAACTCACGAAAATAAAGCAAGAAGAACACAAGGATTTTACGTGGTTCGGATTCGGTGCAAATCCTACATCCACGGGCTGCAACTAGAGAATTTTATTAAAACTCACAAGATTACAATTGGCTTGACACTCTACACTTGATGTTCTCTCAAGTTTTTGCACACAAAATATGCAAAACATACATGCATATATATAGGTATATTTGTGAGCCGCAATATGCACAGGATTGCCGCAAAGATTGACTTTGAAAATTTTGCCATTCACATTAGCCGTCCAACAAATATTAAATAATTGTCCACCGACCATTTGAATATTTAATTCAAACGTTTGCCGACAACAATTGAATAATTCAATTGTTAAATGTAATGTTACATTTATGGCCCTTGAACTCTTAGGAACTTGTCAATTTGTTCAAGACTCCATAAATCTTAACAATCTCCCACTTGGAGGCTTGAACAACATGGTCCGTCTCTGTCATCCAACTACAGTAATCTTAAAACAACCAAGTCTTCCAAGCCTCCAGTTCCTAAGAACAAGCTAAACTTAGTCCCATTTCTCTAATTGCAGCCGCCCCTCATCTTCAAGTACTAGAAGGGCCAGTTGAAGCTCCCACTAGCTCCAACTCAGTCGTGGCTAATCCCACCACCGACTCATCCTCTGTCTCAACCGGTTTGGACACTCCACCAGATCCAGAGATACACCGAGGACCACTAACACTCTCCAAACTTTGCAAACTTCCAACAAGAGAGAATTTTCCAGTCTTAGTCTTTAAAACCCAGCGGCTCTTTGTAACTGTACCCGGAACACACCCCGTGCTCCCACTGTCACAGAATCCCCTGAATGGTTTAGAATTTCCGACTCGTTCAGCTAACATCCCCTTGGCTCCAGAATTCATGTTTGCAAAATGAACTCTCTTAGCAGTAGATTTAGCGAACCAGATTTTGTTTTGCTTAATCGGGACGGTCATACTTCCCTCAGCAGATACCTCAACCATATACAATGACCCACACTTCATACCACGAGCAATCACCAGATCACCATTGACCACCCTCCATTTACCACTACCAAACCTTACTTCCAGTCCTTGTTTATCCAGCTGACCAACAGAAATCAATTTTTTCTTCAGCTCCGGAATAACCCTGACATTCTTCAGGCTCCATGTAGTTCCCAATGAAGTAACTAGATCAATATCTCCCATGCCCGTTACTTGAAGCATCTCGTCATTTGCTAACCGTACCTTTCCAAAATCTCCTTTTTTTAGATTCACCATCGTTTCCCCGTTGTCCATGGCGTGAAACGAAGCCCCTGAATCCATGACCCAAGAGTCTACAGAACTTTCCATATTGAGTATCAATGCATCATCCTCAGATACACTCTCAGCACCAGCAATGTTTAATTCTTTCTTTGGACATTGACTCTTAACATGTCCCACCTCTTGGCAGTTCCAACATTTCACATTCTTCAAAGTTCTAGAAGAACTTTTTCCCCGACTCCCACTGCTCCTGCTATTCCCTCTACCTCTTCCGACATTTAATAAATCAGAAGAAGAAGATCCACCTTGATTCTTGCGTCTGATATCTTCGCCAAGAACCAAATCTCTAACCCCTTCAAAAGTCATACCACTGGTCCCCACGGAACTCGTAACAGCAGTAACTGTTCCGGACCAGCTATCAGGTAGAGAAGCTAGTAGCAGTGATGCTTGAGTCTCGTTATCAAATTTAATTCCCACAGATGATAATCTGGACAGAATTGAATTTAGATTGTTAATGTGAACCGTAACTGAGCCTTCCTCATTCATCCTTGTAGTGAACAACTCCTTCATCAAGAACACCTTGTTAGCCGCCGATGGTTTCTCATACATATTTGACAGAGCCTCCATCATACCACGCGCCGTGGTTTCATTCATGATGTTGAAAGCAACACTCTTCGTCAACGACAATGTAATAACCGCCTTGGCTTTCTTGTCCTTTGACTTCCACGCATCTTCAAAAGCTTTTTCCATTTTCTCCGGTTTGTCTCCGAGTACCACGTCCAAGTCTTTCTGACATAGTAATGCTTCTAATTGCATTTTCCACCAGCTAAAATCAGAACCATTGAAATTCTCGATTACCACCTTGTCTTCAGCCATTATGACAAACAAGATACAAATCAGGTACACTCGTGCGTGATAAAAAAAACGATCGTACCCTCCAAACCTCGCTAATCTAGCTCTGATACCAGTTGTTAGGAACCGGACTGGGTACACGCAGCGGAAACACACTATCACACACACACAAACTCACGAAAATAAAGCAAGAAGAACACAAGGATTTTACGTGGTTCGGATTCGGTGCAAATCCTACATCCACGGGCTGCAACTAGAGAATTTTATTAAAACTCACAAGATTACAATTGGCTTGACACTCTACACTTGATGTTCTCTCAAGTTTTTGCACACAAAATATGCAAAACATACATGCATATATATAGGTATATTTGTGAGCCGCAATATGCACAGGATTGCCGCAAAGATTGACTTTGAAAATTTTGCCATTCACATTAGCCGTCCAACAAATATTAAATAATTGTCCACCGACCATTTGAATATTTAATTCAAACGTTTGCCGACAACAATTGAATAATTCAATTGTTAAATGTAATGTTACATTTATGGCCCTTGAACTCTTAGGAACTTGTCAATTTGTTCAAGACTCCATAAATCTTAACAGAAAGTTTAGGTCTTTCAGAAATATGAAAGTTTAGAAAGGGGTTCTTTCATTAAATGATTAATGTATCAAGTCCATCAAGTTTAAAATATTTGTGCACATAAGCCGGAAAGCTAGCGACACATGGATGTCTATTTTTGATGCAGAAAGACCAAGTTAATAGAGAAATCGAGGGAAATAAAACTTTTTGCATTGTCCTAATTTTTTACAAATTTACCTTCAATTATTTATTCCTTGAGATTTTAGTTTCTCAAATATCTTTTAAATGTCATTTATCCAAACAACAACTAATGGGAAAAAACAAACATAATTGCCTGGATCAAGAAAACTCACATCATTTATCCACACTAGTAGTTAACAGGAAATTTTTGATCAATGGATGTATAGATTCCTGGAGGCAGTGACAAAATCACAGTCCAGGCGTTCAATGAAGTAAAATTTACAGATAATGTTTTCGTCATTTTGTTTTTGAAGTTTTTTTTTTTTTTTTTTTTTTAAAGCCATAGTTTTGTTGGTAAAAGTATTATTTAACTACAACTAGTTAGATTTAACCACATCGACATTTTTTTTGTTTGTTGTTACCCATGGTCTATGGTGTTACAGTAGGTAATTAAGCAGAGTTAAGGCCTTTGCCACAAGACATATCAGGCTGTTTTATTTTGTGAATTACTAATGTACTAAACATGGTTAGAAAAAAATTATACTATTTCATAACCCTCTCTCCTTAGACAAAAAAAAATGGAGAAAAGAGGTAAAGGGTAACCTTAAATCCAAAACCAAATGCCCCAAATATTTACCAAGGCAATCAAGAAAATATGAGAATTTTGTTTCTTACTTGTACAAACTTCTCCGGCAACGAAAGATAGGCAGAAAAAAGACTTTAATTTACACGAACCTGACATGGGAATGTTAGAGGCTTTTGTCCCATATCATATTATCATTAGTATTTTATTTTAGTTTTATTGTTGTTGTTTTTTGAGACGCTCAACTCACATCTAATAGCAACATAACTAAAACATTTAATAAAACAACGTTGATTTTTAAATTAAAAACATCACCACTAAAAATATATAAACACACAAGAGAACAATATCATATAACCGTTTATTTAGATGTTCCAACTTTTTGATTTTAATCTTTTTCATTTAAAACAATAGTAGAACTATATTTGGTATTTAAGATCTTTATTTTGTCATGTTAAAAACTTATTTCTTTCGTATATTTGAAAGCGCTACAACAAGAATCAAATTACAATCAAACAAGTATCAAAATACAAATGTTCCCACAATTCTTGATCCATAAGACAAAGTATGGCCTCGCACTACTCACTTTTGGGGACGAGTGTTTCCCAAGTTTGCAGTGCCCGTAGCAACTTTGGCCACGTCCAAAGCCGTGGCCTCAGGTTTCTTATGATAATACAGTGTAAAGTAAGCAAGAGCGCCAATAACAACAAACCCACCCAACATCATCCTAATCGGTGACTTTGGTGCCCCTTTTGAAGTTTGGTGTAGAACTTGACCCGTTGCCATGGCCTCGCTAGCCCGTGGTTGTTGTTTATCGATTTGAGGCATTGCCTTCATCACATTTCCAAATCTTACCATGTTTACCTTTTGTGTTTTCCCCTCTTTTGTTTGTTAAATTTGATGTGTAATCGTGTGAAACTTTTGAAACTTTATGTTGGTGGTTATGAAGTCTAACCCAAGGATGAAAAAGATAGAAAAAACGGGAAAATGTGAGGGGTAGAGAAATATATGGAAATAAGTTGTTTGTGGGTGGTTGACACGTAAATGACTATCATTGAATTTAGGAGATGTTCAAAGACAACTTGCCCGAATTTGTGGTTTTTGGAAACCAAAAATATGGAATTTTTCACTAAATTTTAATGATTCTATTTTTGTGATGTGAAAACGATTAAATAACCCAACTTTCTAAAATGTGTCTTTTAAAACGTCTTATTCTTATCTAGTATGCAATGAATATATAAAATAAATATTTCCTCTATTTACTGTAGTGATATTTGTTTATATAATGTTCATTGATTGTTTTCTTAATTATTTATAGAATTTCTCGTGTTGAAAGTTGAAACCCTGTGACCCGAGATCAATGTAATTAAAAAACCACAATTCGATAGAAATAATGATAGCGTATTATTTATTAATATGGTATTAAACTTAAAATGTATACTACATTTCGATTGTTCAGAGTAGTGAAGTGGTTATTTTCTAAAATCAGTTTAATTTTTTAAGTTAAATAATTGTCATTATAAATAAAGATAATTGATTATTACTTTATTTGTTTCAAAATATTAAAAATAGTATCCAACGTATTACAACATAACTTGTTATATTTACTTGAAATGTAATAAGACAGCTGGTCAATTTAAAATGGTAAGAATACGGCATTTTTCACTTTTTGGGTAATATTCAAACTCAAATTCTCATTAAGGGTGTTGAGTGTGGGACACAAAAAACGGTGTTTTTACCTACATGGATGTGCCAAAACGGCGTGCTAACGGTTGCATTAGGTGTCTGAACTCATAACTATAATTGATATATACTTGAATTGATAGTAGCACAGTCCTTTTCGATTGCCCTCAAGACTAACTAGACAAGATGATTTTGGAGAAAGAGGTGGATTTATTATTTGATTAATAAATTGAAATAAATGATTTGTTAATATATTATGAAAATAATATATTGATTAGAAATAGAAATATTTAATTAGTATTTAATCAGAAATTATTTGGAATTAATTTTGGGATTAAAAGAATTAACTAAAAGTGCAGGGACTGAATTGTAATTGTTCAATAGTTGAGCAAGAGACAATCTAGAACCCTCCATAGGCCATGGACGGTTTTCTTGTGCCTTAGGTTTCTAGAATAGTCTTTAGTAGATAAACAGGAAAGTGGATAATTACCCGGTTTAAGATTATCTTGGATTAGGGTTTATCTAGGGTCTCCTAACTGCACTATATAAACAACCTAAACCCTACAATTTTTGGCCACTTGTTCTTTGGAAGACCTAGCCGAAATTTTGCAACCTCTCTCTTCCTACTTAATCATTCTTCGTTGCTAGTATTGGGTGTGAGCCATTAGAGGCGTGACAATTGTGACGCTTGCTTTCAAAGCTTCTACAGTACTAAGGATTTAGATTGTTATTGCTATATAACAACCAAGGTATGTTTCAATATTCCTAATTGTGTATTTTTGATTATATACTAGTGTTCTAGGGTTTCTACATTGTTGTTCATATTGTATGTTTAATTAGAGAAAACGTAGATCAAAATATAGGGTTGCATGCACACATAGGATTATATATTTTGCATAATACCCATCAGTAACACCATGAACACCACTCCACTTTGGTGTTATGGTAAGAAATGTTATAACATCAATGGGAAGCAACCCAGACATTTAACCAATCAAAACCATTTTCTCTTTCTCTCTCTCTCTCCTCTTAACACCATGTTCTCACATGTAACACCACCCCCACTTCGTATTATCACATGTTAGAATGTGAGGTGGCAAGGTTTGGGTGTTATAACAATACAACGGACCCCATAAAGATAATGGATCTCAAACTCTTATGATCCGTGTAGACAATACAACGGACCCCATAAAGATAATGTCTCCAAATCGTGAGGGCAAACACCACTACCCCAACTCCACGTCATGAGTAGGATATCGCGTCTCATGCAGCTTCAGCTGCCGCGAAGCATAAGCCATCACTCGCCCTATATGCATACGGACTACCCCCAAACCGATGATGGATGCATCACAGAATACCACAAAATCCTCCACTCCCTCCGGAAGGGTCAATACCGGTGCCTCACATAACCTTCGCCGAAGAGTCTCGAATGTCGACTGCTGCTCAGGGCCCCACCGGAAATCCACTCCCTTCCTCGTCAGACGAGTGAGGGGTACCGCAATCTTGGAGAAATCCTGAATAATTCTCCGATAGTACCCTGCCAAACCTAAGAAACTCCTTATCTCTGAGGGAGATTTCGGAACCTCCCACTACATCACAACTTCAATCTTGGCCGGATCGACGAAAATCCCATCCTGGTTAACGAGGTTCCCTAGGAAATGGACCTCTCGTAACCAGAACTCACACTTCGAGAACTTGGCATAAAGTCGTTCTCACCTGAATACTCCCAGAATCTCTCGAAGGTGCTACTCATGCTGCTCTTTGGTCTTGGAATACACCAAGATATCATCAATAAACACAATGACAGATCGGTCGAGCATCGGCCTGCATACCCGATTCTTCAAATCCATAAACACAGGAGGCGCATTGGTGAGCCCAAATGGCATCACCACGAACTCGTAATGCCCATACCGAGTTCGGAACGCGGTCTTCTCCACGTCCTCCTCTCTCACTCTCACTTAATGATACCCAGACCTCATATCGATCTTGGAGAACCAAGATGCACCCTGCAGCTGATCAAAGAGGTCATCAATCTGCTGGAGGGGATAACGGTTCTTCACCGTTAACTTTTCCAACTCCCAGTAATATATGCACATCCAGTGTGAACCATCCTTCTTCTTGACGAACAGTATCGACGCTCCCCACGAAGAACTGCTCAGTCGAATAAACTACTTGCCTAACAGCTTCTGAAGGTGAGAGGACAACTCCTGTATCTTGGGCGGTGCCAAGCGGTACGACACCTTGTCAATCAGAGCCGCACCTAGTACTAGATCAATCCTAAACTCAACCTGCCTCTCGGGAGGCACACCGGGTAACTCCTCCAGGAAAACATCGGCAAACTCCTTGACAACTGGTACTTCTGAAACTAAAGTCTGCTCCCTAACCCAAGTATCAACCACATAAGCCAGAGAACCCGCACACTCATGCTAAATATATTGTCGAGCCCTGGATGTCGAACAAAACCCTGAACCAACCCTGTTGCCCTCTCTATAGATAAATAGTTCTCTCCCACTTGGGGTTCGAACTATAACTCGCTGGACCTCGCAGTCAATCATGGCACCAAACCTGCTTAGCTAGTCCATACCCACTATCACGCACACATCCCCTATGGGGATAGGGATCAGATCAATCGGATATGGCACCCCGAAGATTTCCAATACACAACCCTGATACACACTAGATGCAGAAACCCCGTGCTCGTTGGCGATAGAAACCCACAACGGACACTCTAACTCCGCAATAGGCATATAAAACTCCCTAATGAATGATCGAGACACAAAGGACCGACTCGCACTTGAGTCAAATAACACAAGAGTAGATAAAGAGTTCACTAATAATGTACCTATTAGGAGCATATACATGATCATACCATAAAAATATAATCAACAGAAAAATAAATAGAAACATACCCGTCACAACGTTTGGTGCCACCCTGGACTCTTCCGCTGTGAGTTGAAAAGCACGACCTCGAGCCCTCGGGGGCTCCGCCCTGCCCTGACTCCCATCCGTGATCCTCAGAGTAGTCGGCGATGGAGCCTACGCCAACTTAGCAGGAAGCAAGGGGCATTGGGCCATTATGTGGCCCACTTGATCACAATGATAGCAAATATTGATGTTGGATACTGGAGCCTGCTGTGGGCAGTCCATCGCAATACGGCCCTTCTTACAACATTTGTAGCATCCCGAAGAAGATCGACAAACTCCTTCATGAACCTTGCCTCACTTCCCACAAGTTCAGCCCCTATGACTCCCAGATCCACTATCAGCGGCCTTGAACTGCTTCAACGCAGGTTTCGACTGCGCTGAGGCCTACCTCTGCTCCCTCGTCTGGAGCTTCATCTTGATCTCCCACCGCCTAGCGGCCTCCTGCAACTCAACCAATGGACCATAACTTTGAGTGGATACAAACTGCCAGATCTCCATCTTGAGCATGCTCAAGTACCGGGTCATATGAGCTTGCTCAGAAGCAGCAAACGCAGGGCAAAACATGGCTCTCTCTGTAAACATCTTGGTGATCTCCATCACCGACTCAGTCCCCAGTCTCAAATCCAAGTACTCCTAGGTTAACCTCTCCCGCTCCACCAGCGGAACTTATCTAGAACAGAACATATCAGAGAACTCCTCCCAAGTCATGGCAGCCCTCTGCTTAGGAGAATACGATCTAGTAACAAGTCTCCACCAATCCTTCGCTCCGGACCGAAGAAGGTTCAGAGCGCATTTGACCTTCTGGTCAGTTCGGCAAGAGCAAGTGAAGAAGAATCCTTCGACGTCAGACAACCACCTCATGGCTATGATCGGATCCTTAACACCATCAAATACCGGGGGCTTCGTATTTTCGAAGTCCCGGTACTGGAAGGCTCTCCCAGCGTCGATCCCCGACAACAGCAATGACTGTGGTGGCTATAGCAGCAGCAGTCTCAGAAAGTGCAGCGTATCGCTCATCAAAGTACTCTATCATAACGGTCTTAATAGACCCAAACATCTCCAGTAACTGTCACTAGAAGAGGGAAATAACCTCGTCCTGAATTATCTTCCTAACCCGGTCCTCAGTCAATGTTGGCCTATCCTTGCAACCAGCTCCTGATCCTGATCTGGATCCTGCCTCAAATCATCTCGTAATCGCCATATTGAAAATAAACTAGGGAGATATCAGATAAAACACATATAACACCATG